GACCCGATGTGGCTGTGCCGCGAGGGTCTGGCTGCCTCCGGCACAAATGGGACCTCGCTGTGGGATACAGCGTTGACGGTGCAGGCCACCATCGACGCCGGACTGGCCGCGCGGCCCGAAAACCAGGCCATTCTACGCAAAGCCCTCGAATTTATCGACAACTCGCAGATCCGCGAAGATCCCCTTGGTGTGCACCACGTTTACCGGCAGCCGACTCGCGGCGCCTGGCCCTTCAGCACCCGTGACCAATCCTACGCCGTGTCGGACACCACCGCGGAGGCCGTCAAGGTCGTCGTGCTCCTGCAGCAGATCGAGGGCTTCCCCAGTCGCATCTCCGACGAGCGGCTCCAGCAGGCCATTGATCTGATACTGGGGATGGAGAATGCCGGTGGCGGGTTCTCGGCTTATGAGCCCGTGCGGGGGCCAAAGTTCCTGGAACTGCTCAACATCACAGAACTCTACGAGAACGTCATGACGGATAATCTGTATCCGGAATGTACCAGCTCCGTGATCATGAGTCTGACGACGTTCGCCCGGGAGTACCCTACCTACCGAGCACGGGATATCCAGGCCTGCGTTTCCCGGAGTGTCGACTACCTGCTGCGGTCACAGTACCCGAATGGCGGCTGGTTCGCCAGTTGGGGAGTCTGCTTCACGTATGCGACGATGTTTGCGCTGCAGGGACTGGCCTGCATGGGTCGAAATGAGTCCAACTGCGCCGCGTGCCAGCGGGCTTGTAGTTTCTTGCTGCAGCACCAGAATCCAGACGGCGGGTGGGGTGAGAGCTTGGATACCGTTCGGTTCAAACAGTACCTCCCTCATCCGGACGGGAGCCAGGTGACTAATACCGCCTATGCGGTGATAGGATTGCTAGCGGCACGATGTGGGAACCATGAGGCCATTCGTCGCGGTGTTGCGTATCTTATGAAGGAGCAGCAGGATACCGGGGAGTGGTTGCCGGGGGCGCTGGAAGGAGTGTTTGCTCCTCCTGGGGGGATGCGGTATCCGAATTACAAGTTTCACTTCACATTGATGGCGCTGGGAAGGTATGCTGCGGTGCACGGAGATGAATGTCTAGCTGCGCAACTAGTCTGATACTGAGTAACACCAATTATTGCCTTTATGATCAAGTAGCACGCATGCCCCATAGTCACCGCAGCTGTGATAACCAGCTTGAGTAATTTAATGCTAGTATGCTATTCTCCTCATCTTCAGCTCACAGTTCCAGACAGAGATAGGAAGGCCCTCTTTTGGCTATCCATGTGACGATGTCTAGGTCTCTTTTGTTCCCGGTCTATACTTGGCAAATACGTGTGGTATACTCTATCTCAAGACTAATTCCGTCGCGTTTCGGATGTAGAATCCAACAGTTGAAGAGCTGTGATATGGGATAATTTAGTATTCTGCTATCGTGAAGGAAAGCAGTAGGGGATTAGCTTTAAGAAACAACAACCTGGCCGTTAGATGTGATGGTGAATATATAGAGCATGTGCATTGTGATGAGTGACACTACCTAAAAATATTGCCTTATAATATAAACTCTAGCCTGTCTGGAGAGATAGTGGCTTTAAAGAGGATCAACTCCTATATTTTGTAAATAGGGAAGGGGGTACGCCTACTTAGTCTCGTTGATAAAAACAAAGTGAATAGAGAAAAAGATTATTGTCGACAAAGTATTTTCTAAAAATTGTTCATATCCGGAAAGAGAAGAAAAGACAAGAAAATCACAGGTCAAGATCGCCTCAGTCATATAACGATTGAGAAAATTGATAAAAGGTGAGTACGTAGTACATTCTGAAATGAAGCTGTATGTAAAAGCAGGCAAGCTATCAACGGTGCAAACAATCAGTAATGGTTTTACATCAGCACACATCGTTCCCACCACCACAAGCCCATTTCTTGGTTGCCAGTCTGCACAGGATCCTCCTTGACGGACTGAGCCGGAAAGGTACTTCCCTGTCCAGAGAGAATAAGCTTAAAAGTTGACCTAACTACAACACCCAACATCTAGATTCAATGTTTCTTATTGGTTGCCATACATGCTAGTGCAAGGCAAAGCTATCACTGTAGTGACCAGTGCTTTAGTATACAATATGGCCTTCAGCCAGTCTGGTGTCACTGACAAATCTGCATGCGACCCCAATTTTTACCCCTTGCTAAGAGGTTTGGGAATTCCCCTTGAATTTATCCAAGGTTAAGGCAGTTATCTAATGCTATACCACGCGCTTTCTTAATATTGCTCTGCCTCTGGTGACATGTTTTGTCACTGGTTTTGCCCCTCAACTTTCCTATATATTGCGTGATGATGATCAGATATCTAAGACATCTCACGAAGCTGAAAGTAGAACTGGAAGGCTGTATATAAACTGAGCATACATTTTCACGCTAAAACTAAACAGCTCTGTATCTAAATAAGCCTAACATAGCTCTAAGAAGAATAGTCAGTGGAGCTACAATGCCAAAGTATTGCCAGCCCACATAGCTAGTGACGGTCTCAACCACCCACCATGGGTCATCTCCCAGACTCTTGCCTGATTAGAAACCTTTGTTGAGATAGCCAATCTGCCATATACGATACACCGCAGTGTACATCAAACGACTGCCATAGTATTGATGCCTCTTACTGCACATTTCACCTAATATCAACTTCGCGATGCTCCCCAAACACCCATTATTCTACGAACAAGAACATTACTAGGAGCAAAAATTTTGTAAAAGGCAAGAATGGCTCTAGTAAAAGCAGGGTGTCCGCCATGAATAGTGGTCAAGCTACCAAAAAGAAGGTAGAAGTTGAAGGTTAGTCCAGGAAATGCTTGTATAATGGTGAGTCTAATAAGGAAATTGGGCGGATTGACCTATCCTTCAGCCACTATATACTCCCTGAGTGGTGGAATTACAACCAGGCCACTGCTGGAAATGGTAGTCCTAGCAAGATAAAGATTAGTGAAGAGTTTGTATAGGGGTGGAGGTTGAGGTAGAATGCCTCAAAGTACTATAATAATAATAATTATAAAAGAGAATGCTACAATTATTACTGCATCAGTTTTTTCATGAGTAATTTAAATAGTAGCCATGGGGTATAGTGCATGGCTCAGATTCTGAAAGTAGAATACTGATTCTGATCATTGAGCGCTTCACTAAAATTATTAGATTTAAGAGAAGGACTGCTTTCATCTCTACTGTTTCCTCCTACTTTGGAAATGCTAAATATTGTCATTTTCTTTATAAGCTTTAATATAGCTTGCATAGGTTGGTGAAGTTAGTAGTAGTTGTATATAACCATACTATAACCAGCTCTAAACATAAGAACTAGAAGATACCACAGCGCATTATATAGCATTCTAGTGGTTGCAGTGAGAAAGACTAGAGTCTTAGTGAGATAATCCATGACTGCTTTATCTGAGAGCTCAACTACTGCTAGGGTAAATATACTAACCATGGCCGCATTAAGTTCTGAAAGCACGGCATATTTGTTTTCCTTAGCAAACCTATCACTCCCCTGAGTTCAGTAGTCATACCAGCAAGTCGCTGTCTAGTGTCACACCCCGGGATCTGTCTCTGCTGTTCTCTTCTAGTCAACTATTTTGGGAACGGGGTTATATAGTCCCTGGACTATATCTGATACTTGCCTGAGTCCGACCAACCAGGCAGCCTATTGATATACCAACCAGGTATATGCTGGTGTAATGATATAATGATCTGACTAGGATTAAGGACAATCCAAAGGTAACATAAGAGTAATTACTGAGTGACAGGTCTGACATCAGAAGCAAACCGAGCAGGCATCCAGGCCGTTATTGACAGAGCATTGGAATAGGAGAGACAAAGCAAGGCGATATTTAAGGAGGGAAAGATGGTTATTATACACTTCACGCACCATCCAAACGGACCGATACAAGCCTATATATAATTAACAGCCAGGCGATTATCCTAAAGAAAAGTAGCAAGATACTAGGACTGGTGATGGACTCCGAGTTACAGTACGGGGAATAATAAAGGAAGCAGCTATGTGGGGCCATATGTCTACGAAGGCTGAAGATGACCTCGCCCCTGACGGCGAGACAGCCGTTTGTAACAACGGTAGCCCCGACAATGGATGACGCGTCAAACGTGAGGTCTCACAGATGCGGGTGGAGGGAGACTAGATGGTTGAACGAAGCACAGAAGTTGGGTGCACAAGCCAACACAGGAGCCTTCAAGACGGTTTCGATGGCGGTGGCGGAAGCTGAAGGTGGCATTCTACCCATCGGTAAACTCGACGAGATCTACAAAGCGGCTCTGAGAGAGGCAGATACTGTCACTCTCTGGCATGGCGGAGACACAACCAATCAACAAGATGGATTGATGTAAGCTTTGGAGAAGCGCTTCCCTGGCATCAAGCTCAATGTCATGGTCGATCTCTCCAAGTATCACAATGTCAGGCTGGATCAGCAGCTTGCTGTCGGTGGAAAGGCTGTGTATGTGGATAGTGTCATTTTGTAGACCTTGCAAGACTATCCTCGCTGGGCTCGAGAGGGCGCATTGCTTAATTACGCACCTAACGGCTTTGACCAAGTCGACCTGGCTTTCAAGGACAGCACAGCTTATTGGTACGCTGCGCTTTTGGTTTGAGGCTCATATTGGAGTGGCCAAGGGAGTTGACCCTATCAATGACCTCTCGACCAGAGTTAGAGGTTTATACTGGTCTTGGGTATTAATGCCGAGGGTGTCAAAGCAAATGTTTGAGTCGTACGTTAATTGATCTTACGGTTGGAGACTTATTTGCCAGCGACAAAAAATTCATTCCATCAATCATGCTTAGATTATGCCTCGTATTGCCGTACGGGATAAGTGAAATGAAGAGAAGGTCAAGGGCGATGAAACAAATAAGAAGGAAGCAGTATCAAACTGATTCTCTCTGTCACAATCATAAGTCTATTTATTCAAAAAAAATACCACTTACATCCCATCTATCTCTAAACCATCTTCAGATATTACGCTCCGGAGCCCACAGTAGGGACTCAAGCTAAGCTGCTCCTGTCGAGGCTCTGAGCGTCGCACATCTGCTTGTACATGCCGTTCTGCCTAATAAGCTCGTCATGCGTACCAGCCTCGACGATTCTACCCTGGTAGAAGACGCAGATCTTGTCAGCATCTCTAATGGTGGAAAGTCGATGGGCAACGGCTATAGTGATGCGATCTCCACTGGCGGCAGCGTTCATCAAGGCTTTCTGCACGACTCTCTCAGACTCGGTATCAAGGGCTGAAGTCGCCTCATCCAGCAAGATGATACTAGGGTTACGGATGAGAGCACGCGCGATGGCAATCCTCTGTCTTTGTCCGCCAGAAAGCTGGCTACCTCCCTGGCCACAAAGAGTGTTGAGACCTTCAGGAAGAGAGCTCACAAAATCCCATACATTGGCTGCACGGCAAGCTGCTTCTAGTGCATCATCCCTGACAAGGGCTTGTTCCTCAGGACCGACATCAAGTCCCGCAGCAATGTTCTCACGGATACTACCAGGGAAGAGAGTGGGCTCTTGTTGAACGAGAGCGATTCTGTTGCGATAAAGACGGGGACTGATCTCGGTGAGAGGAGCTGAGCCGTCGATGTTGATGGTGCCACTTGTGGGATCATAGAAGCGTTCAAGGAGGGACACAATGGTACTCTTTCCACTACCAGAAGCGCCGACAAAGGCAACAAATTGTCCACGGTCGATCTGCTCAAAGTTAGCTTGGTCTTCTCCATAGATCGAGGTACACTGACCGTGAGATCAAGGCCCTTGATGACTCTTTTCTCAGGAGCAAGAGGGTAAGAGAACTGAACATCTTGGAAGTCAATGTAACTTCCACCATTTGCAGGACCCTTTTCTTTGTTCTTATCTGTTTCCCGAATGATTGGCTGCAGGCCGGTGAGCCAGAAATAGTAGTTGGCAGCAGAATTTGCCTTGGTGAAACCTGGAGTTATTGTGTTAGAGGTGTGGGTTGAAATAGAGATGATGTACTGACTGCTTGCAAAGCTGAAGATGACTGCAGCGGCCTGACCGGAGAAGAAGACACCCAAGAAAGATATGATAAACTGTGGAAATGTAATTTCTCCTTGCGAAACGAGTCTCGATCCGAACCTATAGCTCTGGGTCAGTAGTCTACAGCAAGAATAAGACCATGTACCCACCAGAATCCCAGAGCAAGGATGAAAAATTCAATCGATTGAGTCAGAGAGAACCAAATCATCATGGTGAAAAGAGGCAAAGTCGAGCCCGAAACAGCACTATCTAATTCCGCGGTATACTTCTCCAGAATACTCTTCTCAATTGCAAGCGATGAAACAGTCCGGATGGCGTTTACACTCTCGGACGCTATGGAAGCACTTGTTGAAAACCTCTTGTCGATGTCTGTGTTGAGCTTTGTCTCCAGGCGAATACGAGCATATCCTGCCAGTAGAAGAGGAGGCATGCCAGCAAAAACACCAACAAGGCCGAGCTTCCAAGCATATGCAAGAGCAAGAATGCTACTGGAAATGATGTTGATGATGGATTGAAGGACCAATGCCACGTTGAAGCCCATGAGTTCCCACACAGCTTGTGACTGGGAGTCGATGCGACTGACAAGAGCACCAACGGTGTTCTCTGGTCTATCGAAAAAACGCAAGTCTTGTCTCAGCATACTTCGAAAAAGCCCTTCTCGGACATTCTGGCTCAGAGACTGGGGTTCAAGTTAGCAAAATGGTGATCCAGTCTCTTTTCCCGAACTCACCTGGGCAATAATATTTGAAATCCATCCTATAACGAAAAACACCACCAAGGCTCCTAGGCCAATGACAAAGTACATCAAAGATACAAAGTCACCACCTTTGACTAGGTCAGAGGATGTGAAGACATCCATGACTTCGGAAAGTAGCAAATTCTGTCCTGGGTATACAGCAGCTGCGTCATTTGGTTAGAGTCTATACCTGGTAGTGGCTGTGCAGTGGCAGACTTACCTCCAACAGCACAGGCAATGGATACTATAACAAAGTAAGCTCGAAGCTCAGGAGCCGACATGATCATCTTCCAGATGGTATGTAGAAGTCCTGTAGACTTATAAAGGTCAAAATCTTCCCTGTTCATTTGAGAGGCGAGGTCCTCGTTGATAGCAGAATTGGATTTTGCGAGAGATTGAACGGGCTCTATCGCTTCGGTAGATGTTGTCGATTCTTCGTCAGATGTCCGGGTATCCAGGTTTCCCTTGCTGGTAGACAAATCCTGGGCTTGGACTAGCTTGGAGTAGGTGCCGTTGAGGGCCACTAGATCATCATGCTTTCCCTGCTCAACAATTTTGCCCTTGGACATGACCACAATGTTGTCAGCATCTCGAATGGTGACCAGTTTGTGAGCAATGACCAGCGTGGTCCTGTTCTTGGAGGCACTGTCGAGTGCTTTTTGGACTATACCTTCGGAGTGTGAGTCGAGTGCTGAGGTGGCTTCATCCAACAAGAGAATGGAAGGGTCAGAAACAATACTTCGAGCTATGGCAATCCTTTGCTTCTGTCCTCCTGAAAGAAGTCCGCCTCTCTCACCAATGCGTGTGTCGTATCCTTCTGAGAGGTTCTGGATGAAGCCATCTGCAAAGGCAAGCTTGGCTGCGTGTCTGACACGTTCTTCTTGGATTTCTCTGGAAGCCTTCTCCCAAGGAGTCCCAACGAGACCATTGGCGATGTTCTCAAAGACAGTTCCATTGAACAAAACAGGTTCCTATGGAATATTAGCATCTAGGGCAAGGTGACGTTTCCAGGGTTGACTTGGAACACACCTGTTGGACAAGTCGCATTGTTGTACGAAGCCAGGTGACGCTCAACTCCTTCAGGCTGACTCCATCAAGTTTGATGTCACCGGTAACAGGATTATACCATCTTTCCAGAAGACCAATAATAGTACTTTTCCCCGAGCCACTGGCACCCTATTGAAGTGTTAATTCCCCTTCTCACAAGCTATTTTACAATAGCTGAGGGAGGAGGATAGGACATACCACTAAAGCTGTGACTTTTCCAGCCGGAATAGTAAGAGAAAAGTCATCAAGCACTTTGATGTCTGGTCGTGTTGGGTAACTGAAGCCGATCGACTGGATTTCGATGACACCAGAGACTTTACTGGGCTTCTGGCCCGACTCGTCAAGAGGGTTGATGTCTGAGGTCCTGTCGATCAAAGCAAAAAGCTCTGTAGCACCAGCACCAGCGCGAACAAAAGAGGAAATGTTTGGAGCAATGCCATTGATCGAGGTGGAACCGATGATGACCGAGAAGAGGACACTATTGGTAACCATGGTCAGCTATTTGTCAAGAAGAGATGTGTCAGCCCGATTTGGAGGACACCTACGTGAAGACGGCGCCGATGCCCTCTACTTCCCCACGAGCAATCATTCTGATGCCTTGCCAGAACGCCAAACCCATACCTGCATAGATGACAAAGTACTGCCAGGCAAACATAACACCATACACATGAGACTTCTTGCGACACAGTTGTCGTGAAATTTGAAGAAAAGATGTGTACTTGTGCATAATTCTTGACTCGAGGTTGAAGGCTTTGATCGTGTGGATGCTTGCGAGGGATGTTTCGGCGTACTGAGCAGCTTGAGAGATGACCTTCAAGTTCTTCCCATCGATACCAGCGTCGATCGTAGCCATAGTACCGATGACCAACATGATTGCTGGCATGATGCAAATGAGGATAAGGGTGAGCTTCCAGTAGCTGATGAACGCGATGATGAAAGCCGCAATAAAGGTAGCAAACGACGCGAAGAAAAGTCCCAGTTTATCTGCGATGCCGGACTGGATCAACTTTCCATTGGATGTGCCCTGCATGGATATAGACCCAGAAGTTCCGTGATCGAAATAGCTGACCTCTTGGCTGAGGGCTGCTCGTAGGTAGGATTGTCGGATATTATTCGTGACTCGGAAGGAAACGTAGGTAAATAGCGTCGAGTATAGGTAAGTACAGCCTAATCTAGCAATGCCAATGTATACAAAATAGAGCCTGAGAGAATATTAGCTGGGGCCAAGGCGAAAAGGGGTGAATGAATATTTACGAATTCGTGCTAACGGCAGTCATGAACCCGTCTGGATCTGTGGCAATACGTGTGGGGTCACCCATGACATCCATCAGTTCTCCTATTACGAGGTTCATCATTGCCATTGCTACACCGGAGCCGATCGCGGCGAGGATGGCAATGATTTCGAGGGCGCAGTCGAGGGGTTGACAATAGGTAAATATGCGCTGTAGTAATAGTTGTCAGCATGATTGTCATGCCAAGATGTGTCGAGAACGGTCTTCCCCTACCAAGAACGCAGCGAAGCCAGAAGTTGGCTTCTTGTCAGGTTTGCGAGAGCTCTCCGGCTGGTCAGCCGCTGTCGCATCCGCGACTTGATCGATTTTCTCCATTGCGACATGAATGCAAGCAAGGTTAAGAAGAATTATGTGTTTATAAAGAAATATTCGATAGAGGAAAAGGACAAGTGAAGGGCAAATATCGCTGTGTAAACCGCAATAGTGAAGGAAAAGGGGTGTAAGAAATAATTAGCGCAATTAGCGATTGACAATGTCAACCTTGAGTAGTAGAAATAACTAAAGAAGATGCAAGTATGCTCCCTTTTATCTGTCAGGTAAGATCAATTGACGTATACCTTTTCTTTAACCTGTGATTTTGGTGCAGTGCGGTATGCCAAGAGGCCGTCACCGAGATATTCACTATATCGGAGGGCGGACTGCCAAGAATCCACAATACCGCGGTCCACCCTCACTTAACCTCAATAGGCGTAGAGCCAGTCATGCTGGAAAGTTGATTGGCCCATTCAAGGATTGCTGAGACCCATTTTACAGCTTAACGTTGATCCCTGGCTATTAACATCTGCGGCTTGCGGACCTCAACTTTCTTTCTCCGCCATCGTCTTTAGGGAACTTGGTGTGCAAGATCATTTCACCAAAATGGCCACCGAAAAGGATGACACATCCCCTTTATCGGGTCGGGAAGTTGATGAAGTTCGGCATGATGAGCAGCAAGATGGTGGTAGCGGCGTCCCTTTATCCACCATTTCAGCAAGTTACCATTGGCCTTAAGCTCTGTTTCTTTTACTGACCAAAGTCTTCCTGATTCTAGTGTGATAGGTGTCGCTTCCGAAAGGTACACATTCATTCATTCATTCATTTATTCAAGGTCTATCAGGGACACTCAGTCTCAGTTTCTAACCTAAGCCCCCATCCCAGGTACGCTGTGACCGGAAACATCCATGTTCCTACTGCGTCCGCACAGGTCATACTTGTACCTACCCACAAAGGCATAAGTCAAAGGAGAGGCGACAACGCGTCTTCATATCAGAGATATAGTAAGCATATACGCACGCCCGCTTGTTGCATTTGCTAAAATACAGCCTTCTAGTGAGAGGAAGATTGATCATATCTCACGGAAACTTGAAGAGTTTGGATCTGTCCTGGGGGCTATCCAAAACTCTACTCAGAGTGCTATACCCGCCACTGCTCCTCCAACGACTCCATCACACCCGACATCGACTGCATCCGCCGCACCGAAAAGTGAAACGACATCTACATCGTCAATCGATCGCCTCGGCAGCAAGATCCTTACTCCAAAGTTGGAGCATCAGGGAGAGTCTTCCCTCTCAGCCCAAGCCACCTTTGCCAATGAATTTCTTGAAGACGCCATCATCAACAAGCCGAACGGCATCGATATCGCTGCTGAGATGTCTTCTGTCTTGAAGTCTCTGAGAAAGGCTTTGGGAAGGAACTCAAACCACCAGGAACATGACTACCTGTATCCTCACGCTAGAGCTCTTGGGTCGGGACTCAATCTGCGCAATCTTCCTATGCCACCTGTCGACAAAGTTTTCATCGGCCTCGGAATGACCAAAGGTAATAACGACAATTATGCCTGCCTCTTGTTTACTTACCTCTTACCATTGTGTTATAGAGAACGCTCGAGTTCGGTTCTTTTTGAACAATGAAGCAACCTCCTTCAGCGACTACTTCCTCAACGTGTATTCGCCAGGCGAGGCGACTCATGCTGATCTCATCATTGTGAATGGGGGGCTCTATTGGATGTTTCGACAATGTAAACACGCCGTCACAGATTCTGGCCAAAAGGCCGACTTCGAGGCGCAAGCTGTTATCTGCCGGGACAATCTTGAGACAATTCTTGCCAATCTGCCATTTCATCAACCTTCCAAACTTGAGACAGTCAGTTCTATGATAATAGCTGTACGTAATATTGATAATCTGTCTTGACGTGATACTAATACAATCCCAGTGCATATACTGTCTCGAAACATGCAAGCCATCCGCGGCCTGGGGTTTTGTCGCAACTGCGTCACATATGAGCCAGACGCTAGGCATGCACAGCAAGATGGCAATGGCTCAAGATCCCCCGGAAATCAAGGCGGTCAAGATCAGACTATTCTGGCTAGTTTACGTGCAAGAAAAAAGTCTTTCTCTGCGACTCGGCCGGTCATCAACCATTCGCGACAGCGACATCACAATTCCGGTCCCAGGTATTGACTCGCTATCAGAGATAAGCTACTTTTCGCAACTAGACAAGATGAAAGACCTGGCACATTTACAAGGCAAAATTTACGACCAACTCTACAGCTCTGGTGCTTTGGCGCAACCGCAGCATATCAGGACCACCAGGGCAAGACGTCTTGCGGCAGAGCTCGAAGTGCACACGAATAGGGAGGGGAGGAGTGAGGTATGGAAGCCCAAAGATCATTTATTGCTTGCTTTATCAAGGCGTACGTCGATACCTTTGACGACCACCTACTGACAAAGCTACAGAAGCTATACGCAGAAGCTCTGCGCCAGGCTACTAGCAACGGGTTTCTAGAGGCCTTCGTATGCACCGGTAAAGTGATTTACCTGTCACTGATTTGCTTGGTTTATCGAGCCATACCACCTGAAGCAAATCAGGGCACCATTTTTGGAAAGGAATGCATTAGCAGTGCTCACAAGGCTCTAGAGGCACACAGACAATGGATGTCTCTTGTCACTGAACTTGACGGTGACTTTCTTGAAAGCTATGTAAACATGCATGTACACCCGCCCCATTCTGGCTATATATACACCAATCTCTGACCCTCTTTCACTCTTACAGGGCCCTATTACATTCACCGTTTGTTCCTTTCATTGTCATCTTCTGCCATATCATCGAGACATGCGATAAGAACGACCTTGGTCTCCTCGAAAGCGTCATCAAGACTCTACAGTCTGCTACGGATAGCGTTCCATCTTCTGGAGTGAGGAAAGAGTATCACCTCTTCAAAGCACTTTACGATGCCGCTTGCAGTTACATTGAAGCTAGATTAAGCAAGGCCAATATCGGATTTCGCTTGTGGGCAAACACATCTTCGTCCGCAGCCTTGCTGTCACCAGCTCACCAACAGCCTGTCATCCTCACGCCAATGTCTAACTTGCAAAGTTCACAGACGACCGCCAGGATGTCGCTAGATGGGACTGATGAATGGATGCCTCAGTCCTTCGAGACGCCTGGTGGGGCCGAGGTCGATCAGTATGGCGCACAGCTTGGAAATTGGCTTCATATGAACGACCAGATGACCAGAGCGTTAGAAGACAGCTACTTTTGGGAAGATCTTTTGTGAGGAGAACTTCGTGATAGCTAGATATGTAGGATTACGTCAAGATTCTGGGACAACATCGTGCTGGTTCCGTATCACCCTCGAATCTTAATCTACACATACTGCATTAGCGCAAGTGCACCAGACCCTGGGTTTCTTCGGAGCTATGTGGAAGACTCCACGGAAACTGATACTTAGGGCTGTGTATCACACTGAGCGTGCTTAAAGGTTTAAAGTGAATGTGATGAGCAGCAGCAAATGTGTTGATTGATTGCTGTTCTTTTTGTGCGAACACTCTTTCCATGTAAAAAGCCTGCTTCATCATCATTAATCCCGACCTTACGCTTGCCTTTCGTTGCTCCACCATATTAAAGGGAAATAAATCCATTCAACTCAACATTCCCGGGGCGTGTGCAGTGCTGGGGGTTTGTGCTATTCAGTGACACTCAGGGTACCTTTGACGGTCTCTGGGATACGAAGCAGATGTCGAAATTCTGAACACCCGGATATCAGTAGCCAAGATCGGATCGCAGTCACCTTCACGCATTGTAGGCACCTTATGATCTACGTTCTCCAACGACAAGCCAGGACGAAGAATATGAATTCTTAGGGGGAATTTGCGCTCTAACAGCTGGTACTATCCTACAGACAGCCTCATACGTCATAGCTCCTACGACCAGCGGCCGTGTAGCTAAAATGAACAACATCCCTTGTGCGATTCTACCGCCAGCGACCACGACACATGATGATTATAGAAAATATATCGTCCTGCAATAAGGTCTTGAATGCTCTCGAGATTGTAATCAGAATCGAGGTGCTTCATCTTACATCTACCCGGATCATGGCCGAATGTTGATTCGACAGTGGAGCGAACTTGATTCCGTCAAACTCATATATCAGCTGGCGATATCTTGTAGCGTTTGATCCTTTCCTGTCTCCGTTACATACTCTCTTTTTGCTGTCGCTTCGAAGCCCCCGGTTTGTCGGTCATCATTAAGCGCCGCGCCAAGGAGGCTCTAGCTGTGTCCGCGACTCTGCCCGACATTTATCAAGGGAAAACAGATCCAGAACATTTTCGTTGGGGTATGAGCACCATGCCAATGACCTGCTAGAGCAAGATAGTGTAGGTCTAGTAACGGCTGGCAGAGGCTCTAGCAAGAATTCGGCAAGTACATTCCAATGATTAGACTTAAATGCACACCAGCTATGGAATAAATTACTAAGAAAAGAGAGAACTTATTTTCCCAGAGACTGGAAATTAACTCACTGGCATTAATGAGTATCTTTCCCTTCTGAAGCATGCTCATTAGAGCATCCCCCTTCCCCGGTAAGCATGAGTGATTCTATCTGGGCAGTGGCATGGTTACAGTCCAAGATCTGACTATGTACAAGGTATACAGGGTATTCATGGCCCGTTAGTTTGTACTCCGCACCGCACTTGACCGTAGCCCCATACGTTGGACCATTTTGACAGCAGCATGGTATAGAAAGAGAGGTTGACCCGCAGTGGCGAGACCAACGATCAACACGGGGGAGCTGGCCCGCGGAGACAGGAAGGAGAATTCGCTTTTTCGTTCACAATCTACACCCAAACAAGCCGCAGGAAAAAAGGCAAAAGATTGGCCCGGGTTGGGGTCCCATTGGTCGGAAAGGAACCATACATTTCCTGAGTCAACTAAGCATCCATCCTTTCCCTGTCACTATTTAGGTCCGTGTTTGAATGAACAAATATGCTTGCCCCTATGCTCTTCACCAGCAAAATATTACCTAAACAATACTCAAGCGATCGATACCGCCAGCAAAAGGTGCGATGCCCTAAGAATTAGGAATTATAACCTGCCGTTAGTGGTGGTCGTAACCATCTCACCCCGTGCAATCGATGTATAAAGGCGGACGTGCCATGTGTGTACAGCTGTATGTCATGTGCTCCCCTTTCTTAGACTGCTCAATTAATCGGGTCATTCGCAGCGAGGCAGAGATACAGACGGGCAAATGGGAAAGATGTCCTATCGCCCGGAGGAAATACACATCTCAGTCAGAATCTCTCGAGCGTGTTCTCAAGTAGCGATGTTGCAGGATATGACCTCAACGACCTGATGATGCCGTCGCTCGACACGTCCATGGCCTGCATCGACGATGGCGACGGACACAGCTGGAACAACCACCCTGACCTCACATATAATACAGAGAGTGATAACAGGACCCAAGAGGGCCCAGGGACCAACCCAACACTTTCTCGGGAGGAAGGCAAAGAGAACCTGACAGGGCAGCTGATGAAACTGAGCAACCGGGCCCTGGCAGCCATACAAGAGCTTGAATGCGCAGTCATTACTACCTCCTTAACAGTAAACCCCCCTGCAGTGAATGAAGTGTTTGAGGCTGTGAATGCTTTAGTGCGCATCATCAACAGCATCCCTCTGGCGGACAGCACATATGGCTCCTCACGGCCTTTGTCCCGGGGTGAGAACGAGCGACCGCTGCCTACCGAATACAACCCATTTTTCTGGCTCTCGCCTCTTACCAGCACGTTCTCGCTCTCTTCCACGCAGTTTGTGACTTTATTAAGAGGTCCTTGGGGTCCGTAGTTCAAGGGTTAGAGCTGCAACAGCAAACTTTGCACGGCGCTGAGTCGTCCCCTGCGCAATTCATCTGCAGCTCATCATGCACCTACTCAACCGCATAGGTCGCAGCCTTCGAATGGGGAACCGCGAGAATACTGACCAACATGGGCTGACGTTCGGGCCTGGCGGCAGTGGAGAAAGCCGCCCCTTAGAAAGTATTGTCGACTCTGCTCAGCTCATGCTCAGAACCCTACCTGATGAGCACGTCAAGCTTAGTGAGCTCATCAAGGAACTTCAAGCTTGCATAGAGGAAGGATTTTATGTTTTGTTTGAATAGAGTCAATAGGTTTCTACAAGTCTTTTAGGAACCCAAGCCTTTGTTGTAATATTACCGTGTTAGCTAGCTAGTAGAAAGGTCTTTTTTTTTCTTTTTCTTTTCTTTTGGGCACGTTTTTTTCCGAAATTGGAAGGATCTTCATACCACCCGTCCCGTCCAAGCCTCTGAGGTAAGGGGTCCTCCGCGGCCGATTCGAAACCCGGAACGAATGTAGTGAGAGTACTTCTCCATTAAAAATATCCACGACGAAAAGTAAACTATCATCCCACATTGACTGTATAGAATCCTAAGTACGTCTATGTATTAAAAGTCCCACTTGTAGTGAAGCTGGATTTCATAATTGGTCAAAGAACCCACAAGAAGTACCCGCACTACGATCTTCCCATCTTGTATCCACAAAGACTTCCACTTGGGACGTCCCGAGCCACTAGTGACTACAGGTCAGCCAACCTTTACTAAGGAGTTCAGCTAGTTAACTAAAGTAGGTCAGCCAACCCATATAATATAAATATAAAAGCTCATCCAACCTTTTATCTCTAAATTAAATTTTATGTTCTATAATAATTTTTATTATATTTTATATCCTTAACTAGTTCTAAACTAGTTCATAATATCATCCTTAGTGTCAAGGTGCAGGCTCGCAGGCAGGCAAGGATGGGTTAAAGAGGTAGTTGACACTCAGGCTAGCTTCACTAATCCTTATCTAACAGTCCCAGGCTGCAGGTAGACTGGTACGGGTAAGCTCTATAGACAGGACGTAGCTCAAAGAGCTTCAAACAGGTTACAGATAGACCTCGTAAGGAGTCGCGACTCGTCAGGTTCGATTCGACTCAGAACCGCCAAGACTTAGGTTCAGGTTCTAAGATCTAGAGTCGCGATCCGACTCTAGCATTCTTAGAGTTGAACCTGACAGGTTTGACTCAAACCTTAGGTTCCACAAACAGTGCAAATATAGGAAATCCTGTGATATGCATATTTTATACAGTTTTTATCTGTATTTTTGAGTATTTAGATTACAGTTTAGGTGAAAAGGTCAGATTAAAATGATTTTACTATAGGATTAGATGGGAGCTTTCATATTTTAAATTCTACTATATTTATGGCTTCTGATACACAAATTAATCTTCATCTTGCTTCAAATGCTTTAGAACCCGCCCTGATGTTTGCCTCTGAGTATTACTTTCACCATGCAGGTTGCTGTTATTAGGTAGAGGGATTTCATCCTGATAATCCTCATTATCCAGTTTAACCAGTGGCCCCTGGTGCTCTGTGGCTTTAGTCCTTGGTCTTTTACCAAGCGCACGCTCACTAGGCAGTTGTATTAGTGGAGATATAGCTGCTAGGGCATCTTCTTCATTATCACTAATTAGATTAAATTCATCCACTGCCTTATAAGCATCTTGTTCTTCTCTTACTGCTTAAATCTCCTAGGCTATGAGATATTTATTAATAAAGGTTAGCTGCTCTGATTCAATGTCAAATCTTGATATATATATAGACATCATAAGATCCTTAATTATGTTAGGCTTCAGAGAGCCTTAATAGTAGTGACATATGTCATAAGCTAAGTTGAATAGTTATTTAACACCAGAACCAGTAGCAGGAGTTATAAGAATATCTCATGCTAGGCTTGCAAGGATAGGATATTCATACTATTAGTCCTTCCAGAAAAGCTGTGGATTAATTAGACAAGTGCCTAGAAATATGATAAGTAAAAGAGATGTAAGAGATCAGAGAGGGTAGTATACTGCTTCTAAGATACTGTGTAAGCTCACTGTGGGTGTTTGTCTGTGGCTGAAAGGATGTAGCTGATGTGATAAGCATATTAATATCAGAGATCTGATCTGCTAAAGAGTGGCCATTAGATATGGGCTGTGTGTCTGAATATTGCTGTTAGTAGGGCACAAGGTAATCCTTAAGACTCTTGTGGTATTATACGCGCTAGCATGGCTCCCACTCCTTAGTAGAAAAGAAGTAAAGCTTATTTTATAGCGCTAGGATTGTACTAATTGCATATAGATCATCATGGATATTATTAGTCATGCTATAATACTCTGATAGCTTTAACTTAGCTTACTTCAGGGCAGATAGCATCACTGCCTTCTAATTAACCTTCTTTTGCGCAAGCTACGCTATAGATCTTTCTAAATAACTAAAAAGTTTGTTATAGATACTGAAGATGATATGGACAGTAATATCCTTAGTCTTCAAGAGGGTGGTTGTGAATGTAAAGAATGGCTAAGTGATTATAAGAAGATAATTAATCTGCCGCCATTCCTCCTGGCTTAGCTGTAGATTATGGCGACTATACTGCGCGCAGAACCTATCAAAAACAGATTATAGCTGTTTAGCACACCAGAGCATCAGATATATTAAATTCTAGCAGGTCCTAACATCCTGCATTAGTATAAGCTTTGGTTCTGTTATCTAAAGGTTCTAGAAGGCCTCTCAGCATTAGGGGCTCTTATTAATATAGACTGCAAGCTGCTGAACCTAATATATTATAAGTATAAACTAAGGCAATATTAAAGAGGGTAGCTTACCTTATTAAGAGTATATATAATTTCTTGATTCTCTTGCTGAGCCCTATTCTCTTCCTTAGTCTATTCTATCTCTTCTCTCTCATTCCTTAGGTTTGCTTCCATCCTACTAAGAAGCTCTTTCAAACTAAGTTAAATAACATGTGCCATACATGGTATATAAATAATTAGTGTCTAGTTTAGTAGCTTAAGTGACTGAAGAGAGTCCTAGATACTCTCTACTAATATAGAGTTATTAGACACATTATTAGTAGTAATAGTCAAGACCTAGTCCTCAATCCCATGCTTTTAAAGTAGGTTAAGGAGAACTAAGCTTAGATTAACTCCTATATGTGTGCCATGAAGTGGTTCAAAGCCAAGCAAGATCTCATGATAGTTCTAATCCTCATTAATAAAGTAGCCTGTAACAGCCATAAAAGCCTAGTAAAAGGGTAAGGTCTAGTAATCTAATGTAATAGAGAGCTTAGCACCTGTAGGAAGCTTATAAAGAAGATTCTACTATTGTTCTTTAACCATCTCTTAAAGGTGACATCAGACCATATATGCAGAAGGGATTTTGGGTAAGGATGGCACAAGCCAGGCTATCTTAATAAGGGCACTAAACTAAGGGTGCTTAATAAGTTGAAATAGCAGTTATAAGGTAGTAATGAATGCAATTACCCTCTCTATCCAGGCTTGTGGAGTAAAGGTAGGTTTTTAAGACACCAGATATGCCTAAGATAACTAGAACTTAGTAGAGATAAAATAAATCTGTAGAGATAAATATATTAATATACCCCTTCTTATATGAGCCTTCTAATATCTTGTGAATGAGGCACTATCCTCTAATAGTTAACCCCTTGTAAGTGTTTATTTATAGAGGATGTTCTATAATAGCTGTCTGCTGGATAATTAAGGATTTAGCTACATATTTTACACATAACCTTTGGAGACCTATCTTGGATAGAGGTAACCTAGTGAAAATGCTTCCAACACTCTGCCTAGCACTTATTCTTAAAGATATTCCTTTTTAACCAACTTCTAAACTTAGTCTTCAACCACCACGCAACAAATTCATTATTTACCATCTCTGTCCAGAGAAGATGGTTCTTCTTCTTCTTCTCTGGGCCAACATGTTCAAGAGTATTAGGGATGGAGGGCGGTACTAGAGGCCAGGTGAATTTAGCATCAGGTGTAGAAGCAGGCATCTGCTGGCTATATGAGGCGTCAGGGAAGAATGGCTGTGGACTATTAGATGGAAGGAAGGAAGAGCTATCTAGAGGGGTATCCTCATAGATAGATGAGGGATAATTATTAGAGAACTTGTGAATAAAAATGAACAGTATATACTAAATAGTATATAAATGACAAAGGAAATTTCATGAATATAGAGGGGAATAGATGGCTTGCCTAGGTATAAAGGAAGAATAGGAGGAATGGTAGTAGAATAGAATAGAATAGTAGAAGGAAAAATAGCTAAGGATATCTTAGCTTAATGTCTTAATTCCTTAATTAATATATGACTAGCTATAGGGTGATTTTAAGGGTGTATTTATAGATGATTCCTTCTAGCATAGGCCATTCGAATATTGAATGATCTCATAGCTGGGTGATCTCATAGATTAGATCACCATTTGCTAATGGTTGAAATCGATGATGATCAATGATGATCCATGACCATAAGGTTAGAACCATAGATATGATCAACGATCAACCATAGCGGATCAACCCATGGATATGGTCAACAATCAACTATAGCACGGTTTTCACCAACAGAACTAAGAGATTTGACTGTGTGACATGGTAAATAATAGAGTTAGGATGATAGAGAAGGACTGGAAGAGACATACTAGAGGTTAAGTGAGCTAGAACTAAGGGAAATAGGAAAAACTATGAGAATTAGCTGCCAATGTGAGCTAAATGAAGGTGTTAATACATCTATTTTAATATAGACTAGGCTATCTACCTGCGTGTGTGATAATTGGTTAGTGAGGCGGCTAATGCCCCCTATAGATAGGTTCTGTTAGGTTCAAACCTAAGTCAAACCTGATGGACCCTGACAGACCTAAATTAGAACCTGAAGAACCTGGCCTGGAACCTAACCTGGAACCTCATCTTAACCCACATGAAGAGTCATTTCGATCTTAATTTTTGCCCAAGTCCTCAACCCTAAGTATATAGTCTTGTTGCTTTTAAGTGATAAACATACAATATACAGAGTAAATATAGGATATTAGTATTCCTATATGAGCTTCTAATTAGCCTGTTTAATTCTAATAACGGCTGTTGAAACATATTCAAAGAAATGTTGATTAGGATGGTGGTGAAGCACTCAGTATAAAATATATATTTCTCACTTTATATAACACATCAACCACAACTTCTACTAGAATTAACTACTAAGGGCCTCGAGGCCACTAAATCTGATCAGATATAATATTAGCTATGCTAGGTATTCTATATACAGACGAATTTCATATAATTTCACAAGGGATGTGGCGATATCACGTGGTTTATAGATATTTTGACCATAACAGCAGTAAATTACAGTTTAAAATCTTGATGAATCATCATTTTATCCATCTAAAATAGGAAAATCTTGGCAAAATTATGCAAATCAGGTTCAGGTTCGAGGTTCCGACCTTTGGAACCTGAGTCGGACCATTTCGAGGCCTAGTTACAGAATTGTGCGGTGAAGATATTCCCAAGATCACGTGATTCCTCCTTAGCAATGTCAACTCCTATCCACAGCAGCACCGTGACACTTAGATAACTTTTATTATCTTAAGAATGATTAAATAGTAATTAATTCTCTTATTAATTTATTATCTCTTACACCTGAATTAGAGTATAATAAATTATTAAATAAAGTTAATAAAACAATTTTACATAATTATAATATTATAGAAGGTGATCTAGATAAGGTAGTATAAAGATATTAAGTTTAACTAGTTCTTAACTAGTTACTAACTAGTTTATAGCCTATACTAATTATCCCTATTACACATGGAGGGAAAAGGCCTGGAAATACTACTTAATTTATTAAGTATAGTAATTATTTACATATAGAATATACCTTTAGGGGCCAAAGATGCTGAATTGGTGTTACAGTCTTTTCTTCTATGCACTTCCCTTTCTAGTTTCCTTGAGGTTATACCCACCTGACATATTCCCCTAAGAGAAGTGGTTTCTTTCCACTATGAAATCAGTGGCGTGACTTGATTAGTTGCGCAGCTTGGTGTTCCCCTCTTTTAGGCAGCATGAGATGCATATCTCTTGCATGGGTCCTTCAGCTGATGAGTTGTCCTAGTATTCAATTTCAAATCATTGATTACGCTCCACAAGGACTTAGAAGTTTCTTAGGGAGGCTATATGTTAAATAGAATGCTTCATGAAGGATTCTTGAGGGTTCCTCAAGAAACAGTCTTGCCATGATTTGGCTTGGTACCTTCTTCCTTACCTGACTGACAGGCCTTCTACCCTGCACAGTAGACACCTTAACAATTGGGCGATTCTGGTAGCTGTTTTGGGCTGCTTCGGCCCCGGGAGCTATTCCCGAAGGGGCAGTATTTGCATGCCGCTTTAAATCTCCAAAATTACCATGTACGCTCTGTATCAGCGTTACGCGCTCAACGGGACCCACCAAACAGAACTATAGCAACTTGGCTTGGGACAGTTTTCCTGCCCACAAAAACCAAGCCTTTGTTGTATTCGGCGAAGTAAGAATGTCCTTTTTCATTGTCGCGCAGATACTTTGGCTTAGCATCGACTCTCAACGATCTATCCCTCAAATGAAAACGGCTGTCATTGACGTAACTTAGACTGGTGGCCTTCAGGTGGGCAAGCGACAGGGTAAAGTCATCGATGCCATCATGGCGACTCAATGCCTTGAGCTCTTCTGGACTAGCAGATAGAGTATGGTTGAATATGACCGCACCGTTCAGAGCAGAGTCAGGAAGAAAGTCCTCTAATTCCTCTATTTTATCACAAAGGCTTCTGAAACGCTCCTGAACTGCTTCGTTTGACAACGCAATATCCTGTTGTTCTATGATAGCTCTGGTTTCATCGTACTTGTCCTCGTAAGATTGAGCTAGATGTTCCACCAAATCAGAAATAATGCTTAGGGAGCATTGGATTCGGGCATCTGGGGCCACTGAAGCGGACATGTTGCCTCCTTGTGTGCCCCATCTCACTGCCCACCAATGCAGCCTCGCACTGAGTAGTTGAAGGCGATAAACATCCCAAGCAGTCGATTCATTCGCGTTCTTGACATTATTCAAGTCTTCGAGCCCGTCAAAGCAATTCTGAGCAGATACTTCCCATGAGGAAATAGCAGAAAAGTCTGATTTCACTGAATTATCTACCATGTTGGAGAGCAAGTGATGAGAGAGTATGGCAAGATGATAGTGTAGCCTAAAGAAAACCTGAGGAGAATGGGCGGGGTAGGACAATTTCCAAAGGGTGGCCGAGGTGTTATATGTCCTCATCCCTTGGATTGATTAATGTAACAGTGCAAGGCGTAACGCAAGGTGGATTAAGCCCCACGTATGTAAGCGTACAGTACATGTGCCTGCTAGTTGTTTTGTGGATGAGATATGACTTTGTAACAACACATATTGATAAATTTGACTTCCGCGTTCCCTCTGTTTCCTCAACCAAGATTTAGGCTGTAATGTAACCGACACTGATATGCTGCGTGTGTCGCACGTGGGTTGTGCAGTAGGATATGGGAGATTGGTGAGGCCTGGCAGTCTGACGCAATTCAGTAACACTAGATGTCGTATTATACGAGATGTATAAACAGTAGAACGCACCTAGTCGGCTCCTTAGATCAGGAAGTGGCCAGCAACTGCCAATGCACACAAGATTGAAATCATCACAAAGATAAGGAGTGCTGATATAGTACTGCACTGGTAGGCTATACCACTGCCAGCACCATCTAATACCAAGCCAGTCGCGGAATGTTCACTGAGACCTGAGCTTTCGGTGGAGTCCGACATCGACTTCATTTAACTGAGGCGTTACACTAAGACAGCAGTGAAGAGAAGGGTGACTTCTTTGATGAGAACTAGTAGCGCGACCTGTTAGACTTGGTTGGCAGCTTGCTTTCGGATCTTATATTTAATTGGGAAACAACAGCTGCTTAATAATCTTCCAGCACTTACAGAGTAGTAAGTCTTGGAAAAACTTAGTATTCTGACCATTGGCCCTTCAAGAAAGAAAATCTTCATTAAGTTCACATCAAACGGGAAGATATTGAGTGCTGCGTTGAAAGAGAACAGTGCTGATTTCTACAAGGAATGTTCAACCGTGACGAGCGGAATTAGTAAGCTAGCTCAACAGTCCTTGGGAAGCGCGGCTTAACACTAGAACAATCATTAACCACCTACTTGGTCATCTTTTGGTGAGCAGCCAAGCATCACGGACTCACATGCATCACTCTCATGTTGGTCATTACATATTGGTTGGACTGTTATGTGTAAAATAGAATAAAGAAGTGAGGACACAGTAGCCCCTCTAGTCTTTCTTCAAAAGTGTGTAGATCACCCCTATCCTACACTGGGTGTTCGCCATTATTTTTAATCCATCTCCAACTTCGATATGTCGCTCAACAGCACCAGTGAATGCATCCTGAACTAGTTTGTTCTGACCGTCGCCCTTGGTAATGGCTCCGCCTTCTTCAGCCCTTTGATTAAACTAACTTGACTTGCAGTTAAGGTTTACTGCTACCCAGGCACACTGGGTCGCAGTGTTAAGCTCCATCAACCACCCTTATCTCTGCCCGTTCAATTTTTTGTTTCCTGTTCGAGTTGCACACTACACAGGATGGATTTTCTTGCCAAGCTCTGCCTTGTCTAGGGATCAATCAAGTTGAACATATCAAGTATACCCAGAATGAAGGCATTCCTTTCTTCTGGGTGCGGAGTCGAATCAGGCCTCCAGCATCTATGGAAATCCTTTGTTTGAGTTGAACATGACCAAGATAAGGGAGAAGTCCCTAATTCTTGCTTCTTTTATGTCTGTATGCTGACAATACCCAAATGCCCATGTTGCGCAGTACCATACCATTTCTATCATCAGACTTGCTTTCCGACCACGTATACAAATTGCCTCCTAATAACGAGGTTTGCGAGCCTATTTGGCGGTTCAATATACCGTAATTAAGCATGGTTCGAAGGCGTTCATTGCGTTCCCCGATTCGATCTAAAGGGAGTTAGTCATCGTTCGGCAATGCCCGCTGACAACTGGACTCACTTGCAGATTATGGATACGTCAAGGTAACTCACCTTGTTCAACACTCCATGGCGTACTGTATTTCAACAATTTTCATCGCATTGTGATGATCGACATTCATATGACAGGATACACGAATCTCATTCTCAAGGCATCTCAGTATTCTTACCTCCCAACGCCAGTTGCACTTACTCAGCTCAGAGTACTCTGCTTGTTGTGCATCTGAGATGGCCATCTGAGAAGAGTCTGGAACGCCCTAGGGAAATGGGCGACTTGATTGTGCGAGAAGTCCAGCTTTATTGCTCAACTCAACTGCTCTGCTCGGGTAAACCGCACAGTGTGATTTGCCTTACTTTTTCTTTGCATGAAGCTTGTGTAACCCATTCTATGATCATTGATGACAAATGTAGGAATAGTGAGAGTGCGGAATAACACTTCGGTTGATCAATCCGTATAGGTCCATATCAAGGTGCTTGTTGGCCAAGCCTGGTGATAGGTAGGACTGGTGCACGCTGAGGCGATGGGTACTGGACTGCATGGTTCAGGACTACTGATATTCTTTAAAAAGGCTGTGGTCGTAAAGTAAGCCCTAACATCAGATTCTTAGTAGGACATTGTTGAATAGCTGAGAGTTGCCTCTATATCCAGCAGTATGATCCCTTTCTCAGTAATGCACGGTGTGCAATGATACGTAAGGTGAGGGCCCTTCTCAGGGATATTGGTCCACGGATGATAGTTTGGCACGTAGCCCTTATCCAAAGAAGCTAACCTGTTATTCCAGCAGTTTGTTCTTGTGTTGCTCACGGCACTCACCGTTTACATCATTGTGAGTACCAATGCCTGCCTCCGGGAACTTTTGCATCTGCGACTCAAGAAGAATCACCGTTGTGAGTCGTTCCCTTGCGACGGGCATTTCGCCCTCACCACATTCCTAGCCGGTGATTATGACGGGAAAGAAGGTGACCACGATGATGATGATACCTACTTTGTTGCCGCGCGCGTTCTTACCTACCAGTTGCTACACGCTCCGAGAACTAGACTACAAAGTCCAACCCCGTTCATCGTGCTAGTGACAAAGGATGTACGGGAAAGCAAGCGTCAGAGGCTACGCGACGACGGAGCAAGTGTCGTCGAGGTCGACCAAATGGAGCACAATATCTCCATTTCCGAACCCCGCTGGCTGCAAACTATTACCAAACTCCGGGTGTTCGACCCGACGGCTGTACCCTATTCAACAGTCCTATATCTGGATACAGACATTGTCCTTATACGTCCGATTGATTCCATCTTCAGCGACCCGAGTAGCAAAATAACAGATCCGCTGGACTACGCCAAAGGAAATGACGTAGTGCAGGATCGTCTTCCAGAGAAGTATACCATGGCCGCCTCTCCTGAGTCTGGAAAGCTTGATCATCCATACCCATATCTTGATACAGAACAGAGGGATTCCTACTTCAACAGCGGCTTCTTCATATATTCGCCTAGTACTCAACTCTTTGAGCACTACATGTCCCTTTTAAAAGGATCGGAGGCTTGGTACCGCGGCTTTCCCGACCAGGATCTATTGAACTATGCCCATCATTTGGAGGGGCCAATGCTCTGGCAGAAGTTACATTTTTCCTGGCATCTGAACTGGCCCAACAACAATGACTTGAACAGTGGGATGGCGGCTTTACATGCTAAATGGTGGAAGGGAGATTTTGTGTCGCCTTCGGTCAAGGAGTACGCATTGTCCAGAAGATGGGAGATGGAGGGATACTGGATGGGTAGGGCTTCCGGGTGCGGATGAAGCATGCCACTTTGTATGAACAGGCTACTAGAAATGATGTCAGTCTGTACGTATGATTGTCTCTGTCGAGCTGGGTGATCACACTTGGGTCAGCGATATAGTGCGGTTGGTGATCGCAGGCTTGTCAGTGAAGCCACAAACAACCGAACCTAATTGGGAAGTGAAGAGGCCGACTAGGTTCGATCCACTACCATAATGCCAAACGGTGTCCCCGTGACACCAGATAATGAGAAATTATAGGTGGGCATAGTAGGTAATTCTTCCTCGGCTCAGTCGCATTTACCAGCGCATTTGGAAAAAGGAGACATAGAAAAGGTATATTAGCAGCCCTTACAATCTGGCAAACGAGTATTCATGATCCCGACGCCTACTTTACGTCCATGATCCCCTCCCTCCTCCTCTCCAAGCAGGATCAAGCAAGTAAGTAATTGTTGAATAGTATGTAACAACGAGCTAACCTACAAGAAATGTATAACAACACTGAATCATCCAATGAAGAGATTCTCGATAGATCCGCCCCTAAAACATCAGGAAGCCCCCTCCAGAACTCAGCTTCTCCTGACCAGCAAGAAAATTCGGAGCCCTTGAATACGGGCTGTGTTGATGAGGAATCTTCAGCTCCAGAGAAAGTCAAAGATCGGGGAGCTGAATTCGAGAGCTTTTACGTCAATCCTGAATTTGCATGCAGCATTCCAATCGGAGAGATTGGAGCAATGCTTCTAGCTTGGAAGACAGAGCTCCAGACCATACCACTCAGTGAGAATTAGCTAAATACAGTAAAATCGCGTGCTGCGGTACCTAACTGTTCTTCTAGAGCGGGTGGGGGGAAGCCATGGCAATGAGGAGGACGCAGCCAGTACCGCTGATACAGAAGCAACAACCGTCCGAGGATCTGTGAATTCGGAGGACGGTCATGAATGTGAATTTCTTTCAGGCGCATTGGCAACTTCATACGCACCTGATAGCACAAACACCGCTGACGCTATAGCCCGCACCAAAGTCAACAACGTGTCATTACCGTTAAGAAAGCGACCGAAGGTCACCCAGAGCCAGAGCTGAGGTAAACGACACATGCCGGCGATTCTCATGTAGCTGCTGTACGTAGCCCTATACCAAGCTAAAGATAGTACTTCTTTGCAAAGTGCTATCGTGGTTCATTCCTGGTGTACGACAGGGACGGAAGGGGGATTTGGTTCTTAGTGCGTATTTAACGATGGGCGAGATTAGCTGCACGGTAGCCAATCCAGCGTCCAGCTTTGAACATTACTATATTCTCAAGAGCGTGATACAAGCGGTAGTGGGAAGTTATAATCAATGTGAAGCTTCTTGGAATCAGATGTTGTTTGAAACACTATTTCCTTTGCTCAGCCCTCCAGTTGCTGGGGTGATCAGGCGAGTAGAGCAGCATTCTAGCATTCTAGAACCGCGAAGTGCAAGTTACATCCTCTTCATGGTCACCCACGTCTTCTTCACTTTTTCTTCCCCCTGGCCATCGTTTCATTTCCTGTCCCATCCACAACGCTGTCAGTATCATACTGGCGATGCTGACCGACGCAAGAAGCAATACAAGTCCCGTCCACCCAGATTGTTGATAGATAAATCTGGCGAAAACGGGGCCGATCACGAACCCCAGAGCAGACATGCCGTTAGTGAGGCCATAGACCTGGATGATAGCAGATCCATTGCCGAGTCGAACAGGGCAACTTGTTGTCCCCGCACTCGCCAGTGAGACTGCATCAAACCAAGAAGCAATCTCTGAAAAAATTGCGAAAATGCCGGCCAAGGCTAGCAAAATGAGTAGTACTGGTTGAGACGGTAAGCCATTCCGGTCAGCGACAGATAGCAATGCGAGTGCTAAGCCTGAGCCCAAATATCCGAACACTGCGGTTTTTCTAGCGCCGAATCTGTCTATTGCCCAACCTACCAGTGGTGATAGCACAGACGGAGCCACCAGCGCTAGAGAAGGCACGCCTGCCTGCACTGAATTCCAACCATACATATGCAGCACGAAGAGTGGTATAATCGAGTTCAACCCGCAGCATATTAGAGAAGACTGGAAAGAGCCCCGTATTGCGGTCCACATTATGTTCCTCATAGTATTCGTACCCATAAAAATTGTACTAATCTCGGAAATGAGTGAGCAATCCGATTTTGAGCAATGGCACGTGTTCAACCACTCTGGGGCATGTGGATACGTAGCGATACCTGTTGCCTGCCATCAGTCTCACGAGCAGATACTGCAAGGTCTGGTCCATCTGAGCAAAGGATGGATGGGCACGTATCGTTATAGACGTTTGACACATGAAGACTCTGTGCCGCTTCAAACAGCGCTGGAGTTGCTGAGCAAATGGAACGTACGATGAACCAGCAACGTCAACCTGTATTATGCCTTATACAGCCACCAATCAGGGCGTATGCGCGTGCTTCTATAGCCTTTCGGGCAAGCCATCCATGAAAATGGAATATAGCGGGTAGGAGAGAAGCTTGTTCAAGGTCAACACCTCGGATTAGTACTGTAGCCTTTCACCTAGTCCAGTGCTGCACAAACCGCGGAGTTCTGATTTGTTCAAGTATTGACGATTAATGTTTGTCCTTGGGTGATCTGGCTCATGCGAGGCTCTTAGGAAATGAAAGTCGTCGAAGCCTCTACAATTGAAGACTTCTTGCTCTCGATGACCGTCAGCCATTTCAGTCTTCAGCTCTTTTTGTGTTTGCGTAACACGGATCGTTGTGCCCTGTCCAGGGCTCAGCAACTCGCCTCACGTGGACTAACACGTCAAAACAATTACAGAGTTCAACAGCTAATGATTCAGCTGGAATTAGACCAATACCAAACTGTGAGTGGGCGTGCTCGACCTCTTTTCTTCGTGCATAGAGGGCCTGGTTAGTGGGAAAACCCCACAGACCCCTTGGCGGAACTGAGTCTGAATCGTGCACTAGGCCTCCTCTTCCTAGCGGGCAAACCGCGATCACACCAAATATGTCTTTGGGCGCAGGTGGGGTGCGTGTTCTTCCTGGGTCGGCTCGACCCGCCCAGCCCACAGCCCCATCGTCGAAGCTACTGGTCTCAATCACATGATGGTATATTTACCAGGTTGATGCTAATGTACTCAAAGTAATGTTGAATATCATGGAGAGCGAATAGAAATAGCACAATGTGATGACTTCATCAAGCAGAATCCCTACTCATGCTGTTCAACCGTCAGACAGCATGTCGGAGACGTCCTTCATAACTGTTCATTCCAGAGTCGATTATTAACGCATCTTTTATGGTCCAAATGTTAGACTCCCCCGGCGTTCCTAAAATGATACTTGGTTGGCTAGTAGTTAGTCTCCTGTGCTAAAATTCTATTGAGAAAAGAATGGTCGGCATATATGCTATGTGTAACATTCCCTGAAAGTTGAAATTTTGACCCGATTGGGATTGAATTTCTATGAGATATGCAAAGCTGCAGTCAATGGTCATTATGAAGGGCAATACTTCATGTCTGAAGGCAAAGGGTCTCATATCCAGCGTTCAGCATTGAATCGATTAAAATATATACAAATGCAGAATAGGTGGAGGATAGGATGAATGATGTATGTAGAGTAATGTTGGCGTTATTTTTTTTTTCTCGGTGTAGAGCTGTTGCTAAGGTCCAGACGAATATCACTGGAAGGAGAGATGGACCCGACCTGTTGAATTCAGAAATCAATCTCGATCGCAAAGGTGTATCGAACGACTGGTGGCGGCAGGATTTATGTGTGTTGAACCTGGCCATCGGTTATTCCGTCTTGATCCACATGTTCGATCGTGGACTCGGACATAGCGCTAAGAATTCGCTCGTTGGGAGCATCGGAACGTATCGTGGATATGAGTTGAGAAATATTCGCCCGATCAGTATGGCGTATAAATTGTATCAACTATTCCAGAAAGTTTTTATAATATTGGAACTCTCTGCTTATGTCGTCTGGTTGGTTGGCTGTGGTGGATGGTCCGCTTCCCTCTGTCATACCGCGCTGCAGATACTCAGGTAGATGGATCGTATGATCTTCTTGCGGAGAGTATGAGGACAGGCAATGATAGTTGAGCGTTAACTGCGAAGCAAGTCTTTATAAAATGGTATCACTACCCTTACTTTGGCCGCCGTGATTAGGAACAGGCGGCGCCTGGTAGAATGAACATTCGGCCGAAGGTTGAGAGTGGAGAATAAAGAGGCATATACGGAGTAGACATAAATACTGTCGTAGGGTCACGTGACCTCTACTACCTTAGTCAGCCCGCTGCCCCTATCTCATCGCTGGTTAGGCCTCCTAGCTAGGGAATCCAACCATCTCAGTGCTACGTCAGGTTATGAGCCCTTCTCCTTCCATTCTGAGCGATATTGAAGCTATTCAAACATGCCTGGCACTAGATCCAACTAATCAGGCAATCGGAACGCTGCCCCCGCTAAGGGGGCTGAGATGGCCAGCGATTCCGAGCCTACTCCAGCCTCAGGCCGAACCGAACCAGCTGCTGAAGAAACAGTTCCAGAGAACCAAGCAGCCGAGCTTCCAACGGATGACATCAAACTAGACGGCATACCGATTCTGAATGGCGATGATGAGCTAGATGATTGGCTCACATACGTCCAATTAACGCTAGATCTCTATGATCTAAGCCGGTTAATCGACCTGATGATACCGAGGCCGAAACCGAAAGATCCAAACTATGCGAGATGGCGGCAACTATCTAAGCAGATTCGGAAATGGTTGATACTCAATATCTCAACCAATATGCTACGATCGGTCCGAGAATCGGCACTTCCCTGGGACTACGCCGATGAGGTTATATCCACTTTGACGCAGATTTTGCGGGGGAGAGGCGTCAATCGCGCCTGGGCTGTATGGGAAAGCGCGATCTTCATCCAGAGAGATGATTTCGCTAACCTAAATCACTTTATAGATGAGCTGATTCGTCGAATACACGCGTCGAATAGTCTGAAATACAAGATTGAGCCACACCAGGCACTTATCTTACT